TGCCACCAGGGCCATGGTGACATACCAGCTTGAGCTGGTGCCGAGGACCATGTCTGGGTCCATGTTCCTGCTGTAGCTGAGGTCTGTGTTGATGTTCAAGGCCCACATTGCCACAGTGGGTCATGAGAACCATGTATGTTGGAATCCGAGAGCCATGCTGAGCTGGTCCCGCCCCTCACCAGCCCTGGGATAGCTGGCCCTGCCTCCCCCATCACAGCAGCAGGAGAGCTGCTCCATCCCTCATGGGAGAGTTGCCCCCCAAAACCCTCGCACTTGGGAGAGCAGGCCCCACCCCTTGCCTGGGGGGCGGTGGTCTCAGTGGCCTAGACCAACCAGCTCAGCTACCACCCAGATCCACTTCCTGGGCCTCCAGTTGACCCATCATGACAGCTACCCCATCTGCATAACCTGCCGGAGCGTGTGAAGGTCCTGCGGTCCAAAGAACCTCCATGACTCGGGGCAACAGCAAGGGATCTGAGAGGAGTTTTGGTGAGGGTCCAGTGATGATGGTGTGACAGAGGCCTTCAACCAGATCAATGACTCACTGCAATGAACATTTTGTGGGTGGTGCTGACTGGACAAAAGGGTATCACCACAGCTCCCGGTGCCATCAGGATAAATGAAGAGATGTTAGAAAGACGGAGGAGCAAGGTGGCTTTGTCTGTTTTGTTTTTAATTAATTTGTCAGGGAGTTCCTCTTAGAGGGGACACCGCAGGGATGGGGGGCAGATATGGAGGTGAATGGAATTGGGGTACATGACATGAAATTTCCAAAGAATCAATAAAGAATTATGTGGGGGTTTTTGTTTTGTTTTTTAAGAGTGGAATTCAGAGACATGGGAAGCAGAAGGCAGCCCAGCAGAGGGGCAGGATCCAGCCGCACCCGCGTCACAGGGCCACAAGGGCTCTCGGGAAGCCTGGTAATTATCCCTGACACCCCACCCAGCACTTTTTCTTTCTGGTCACCTCCCAGCCACAATCCCATAAATGGACCTGGGAGAAATCACAACCCGATTAGCGGCTTCCTGCCATTCTCTGGCCTCGATCACTCCATCAACCCTACACAAACACCGTGAGGTTCCCCGAGCACCCTCAGGCTGACACTGTCCTCCTACAGTTTCCAGGTCACACGAAGCAAGGAAACTTCACAATGGCTGGGGAAGGGCTGGAGTTAGCAGCCAGAGCACTGCCCTTCCCTGTGGAGGGAGCTAGAGGGGATGGAGGAATGGGGAGGCATGGCTCAGCCCTTGAAATAAATGAGCATCTCTCTCTCCTGCATGAGGACTTCTGGCCCCACCTAGTTCTCGCTGATCCTAACTGGCACACTGATTGGGAGGGACTGTGGACAGTTGCTATGTTCACACCTGACCATGGGGAGTCAGGGCCTCTAACGGTTCCAGGCACTGAAAAGAATCTGAGACTTCTGCTCTAAGACAGAAGCCCTACCCACCCGCACCTGTCCGAGCCTCTCACTCACAACCATGGAAAACACACAGCAGAGATGGAATGAGGCTCCCCGAGGTCTCTAGCCCACAGGATGGAGAATTGCAGGGCCAGGTTGCTGTGAGGGAGCCAGTGCAAGTATCTGAGACCAGTGGACCTCACAGGAGGGAGGAACTACTCTAAGCCACTACGGCCTTCTGTCAGGCCATCCCCAGACTCCATCCCTGGAGGTCACAACTTGACACAGATCTACCTGAACCCTCAGCAAAGTGACCCTGTATGCTATTGCCCCCTCTGCCAACAGGTATCTGGACCTCCTAATAATAATAGCTAGACAAGTGGACACCGCTTGAGCTCCTACTGTATATCACCCAGTAGTCTCTACAAGGAGTTACTCATTACATCCATGGTTCTGAGATGGGCGTTGTCATACCTGTGTCACCACCCAAGCCAAGGCCTTGGGGACTAACACACCACAGGTCACAGGGGTAGGGATGGAACTAAGCCAGGGCTTCCTGCCTCCCTTCCCTGGCTCTCACGGGGTGGGTGTCTAGCCCCACATTCCTGCCTGGGTCAGGCAAAGGTTACAAGACCACTCACTCAGAGAAGCCCCAGGCTCTGCCTGGCTCATTGTCTCCACAAACACAGCCTCAGAGAGGCTGGCATGGTGACCATGAGGCTGTGGCTCACAGCGTGATGGCAGCCCCAGAAGGACAGCTGTGAGAGGGTAACTTGATGAGTGGGGCAGACACCATGACCAAACTCCACCCTGCCAACCAGCCACCCCAGGATTCCCCTCACCTGCCTAGCCTCAACGGTACACTTCCTCCCACACTAACCACAACATCTGTGTCTACTTACTATTAGCATCCTCACCAGATCAAGGGCTCCCAAGGCAGGTGCTGTCCCTGCCAGACCCCAGCCTCAGCACCAGCAGTGAGCTGCTACTAGAGACAGCCCGAGAAACTGGCAGACAAAGGAAGGAGCATGTGGCCATCAGGGAACATGCTGGATCTCCAGCCCCTAGGGAAGGGACAGGCAGGTTCACACCTACACCAGCCCCTCAAGGATGGGAACCAGACTGTGATAAACAAGGAAGGCCAGGGAAGAGCATCCGGAGACAGAGATGCTGGATCATAAGCTCTGCTGCGACCATTAAATAAACAATGTCAGACACGTAACTAAGAGTCCTTCATTGAAAACAAGCCTCAAAACAAACAACTAAGGAAGCCCAGGCTCTGGGTGGAGATCCTGCAATGGCTCACAGGCCATGTGACAGCCAGGACCCCATTGTCACTACTAGTTGCCCAGGGAGAGTTCCATAGAGGCCACAACCTCACCAGAGCTGGGTGACTCTGCTCCCATATCCACTTCTGCTACAGACCAGGAGTTACAAGCAACCTGAGCTCTCTACAGTTCCACGTGTGGGTGACAGTCTGGCATCTGGTTCACACACAGACATCTGGAGCTGACAGGACAGGCCCAGCTCTCCCATCAGCCAGACTGGGGAGGGAAAAGTGGTCACAGACGTACTCACGGCACTGCTACAGACCCACTCTGTCACGATTACCACACTTCCCATAGAAACCGCCACCTGTGCCTCCACCACACAGCAGGGGACAGCTAGCCTGTACAGACAGGGCGAGCCTGGCTTGGCCTGCCTCTGCCCACCCTCACCCTGGGATGTTCACCAGACCTCAGCTCAGGACTCAGAGGGGACATGGGGCTATAGGCTGCCCTGTTCCCTTTCCCCCACCCCATCCTGCCCCGAGCATCCCTGTCCACCTGTCCCAGTAAGCCTCGGAGACCCACTTCCCTCCCATCCAGCCATGCATGCTCTCTGCTTCCCTGATGTCTCATCCTATTATTAGTACTTCCTCTGGCAGACCCAGGGAACCCCCAACTCAGAGCAGAAACCCAGGGGCCCTGGACTTTGATATCTATGCCCTATTCATTATAAGCCACAGGAAGCAGGGAACATGTCAGATGCCTTCAGAGAGCCACCGAGGGAAGGGCGATACTGGTATTGGGCCAGAACACCCCAACCTGGAGTGCTGGACAGCTTCCCAGGCTTGTCACCTCCAAGCTGGCCTCCTGTCCTCTTCCCTCTGCTCCCTTCCGGAGAGTGACTCACTTCCCTCCTGGAAAAAAAATCACCAAGCATCCCTTCTCTCTTCCCTCTTTCTCACTGGAGTTCACTTCAGGATGAGCAGCTAAGTCTCCAATGGTAAAGCCCACCACTCTTAACCTTCAGTGTGGGGAGTGTGTCTCCCAGCCACCCCAGTGACTTTAGGAATGATCTTTCTAGAGGAACCACTCTTGCCTGCTGACCACCTGTCCCCACAACACCTGCCAGCCACCTGTCCCTATAACACCTGCCAGCCACCTGTCCCCACAACATCTGCCAGCCATCTGTCCCCACAAGATCTGCCAGCCACCTGTCCCCACAACACCTGCCAGCCACCTGTCCCTATAACACCTGCCAGCCACCTGTCCCCACAACATCTGCCAGAAATCTGTCCCCACAACACCTGCCAGCCATCTGTCCCTATAACACCTGCCAGCCACCTGTCCCCACAACACCTGCAAGCCACCTGTCCCCACACCTGCCAGCCACCTGTCCCTATAACACCTGCCAGTCACCTGTCCCCACAACACCTGCCAGCCACCTGTCCCCACACCTGCCAGTCACTTGTCCCCACACCTGCCAGCCATCTGTCCCCACAACACCTGCCAGCCATCTGTCCCCACAACACCTGCCAGCCACCTGTCCCTATAACACTTGCCAACCACCTGTCCCCACAACACCTGCCAGCCACCTGTCCCCACAACACCTGCCAGCCATCTGTCCCCACAACACCTGCCAGCCACCTGTCCCCACAACATCTGCCAGCCATCTGTCCCCACAACACCTGCCAGCCATCTGTCCCCACAACACCTGCCAGCCATCTGTCCCCACAACACCTGCCAGCCACCTGTCCCCACAACACCTGCCAGCCACCTGTCCCCACAACACCTGCCAGCCATCTGTCCCCACAACACCTGCCAGCCACCTGTCCCCACAACATCTGCCAGCCATCTGTCCCCACAACACCTGCCAGCCATCTGTCCCCACAACACCTGCCAGCCACCTGTCCCCACACCGGCCAGCCACTTGTCTCCACAACACCTGCCAGCCACCTGTCCCATACCTGCAGGCCAAGGCCTCTTCAGCAGCCGCCATAGCCATGCTCCATGGCCAGGAGCCTGTTCCTTTGTCCCTGGCATTACCTTCTTCCCTCCTGTGCCAGCACCAGGCCAGCTCTGCCTCCCACGGTTCTACCAGACTATGCTGGGACTCCACTGCCCCTTCTGTCTGAATTCTATTCAAACAGTCTTTGGCAGATAAACTGTGGTGCTGAGGGTCCCTGGGCATCTCTAATGTGGCTAAGGGCAGGGGCTAGAAGTATGGAAGCCATGGGTCAGCACCCAGACAGACAAGGCCAGGCAGATGATCCCTATTGGACATGCCTCTGTTCAGAGTCTGCCCAGTACCAGTTGAGAGAGACAGCACTCACCTGAGAGGCAGCCCTCTTGGCCAGGCTTCTGGCTCCACCCTGGGCAGCACCTGAACACAGTGCGGGCCTCCGTGGCATACACCTGCCTATAGCTCATATAGTAGACAGTCCTGGAACAGAAGACAAAGGATGTGTTGATCATTACAGGGCCAGCACTTGGGCTCTCAGAACACCCCAAAATAGGCCCTCACTAATGCAAGCTGAGCAAGCTGAAGTGCCCAGGGAACTGATACCCCACACACCAGTGCCTGGCTCCTTCTGTCCCTCAAAGTCTCTGCCTTCTTCACAGGGCTACTGGAGGCTCCATCCTATCTAGGGAGGACTCTTGTGCCCACCTTTACCTGCCACACAGACTCCCTTCTTTGCTCTAGTGACCAGTAAGGTAGATGGCTGCTGCTCCCAGCTCCCAGCTCTGTCTAGGCTGACATGGTATCTGTCACTTCTGATACTGAGTTTGAACACTGACTCCCCCAGGGTTCTGGGGGCTCTGAGCTCAAGTTTTTGTGCCTGTATGGCAAACACTTTACCAACTGAGCCATCTCCCCAGACTCCTCCAACTCTGTTTTTAAGACTTGCCAACATCACAACAGTTCTAAGAAATGGACACAGAACTCACAGCCTGGTAAGTGTCCCTGAGCCTAATGACTGTGAAATTTCTGTTTGTAGGGACGGACAGACCAGGAATGAGACATAGACCAGAGACAGAGACTGCATACGAAAGACAGGTAAAGAGAAGATGGCGACTCCAGTCTCCCCAACGGGCCTCCAGCCCGCAGTGTCAACCGCCCTTAAGGCCATAGGGTCACCCTCGCACCCAGAAGCTAAGCCAACAGCCACAAGGTCAAGGGCCCTTAAAGGCCCTGGGAATGGTCAGGTGGCCCAAGCTGTTTCTCTAGGCAACAAACTAGGCTGTGCTTTCTGGGGCCAGTACATGGGAAGCCATGTGGCTCTGGGCTCTGCCCAATAAACAAGGCTGAGGCCACTTCCCGGAAGCATGTGTTCCTGCACAGGCTCTGCACACAGAAACTCTGGGAGTGCTTTACAAAATACCACCTTGGCAGGACATGAAACCACTTGCCTGGACAGAAACCGACCACAGTGTGAACAATATTTGGCAGCGACAGCACACTAGAGCCTGGCCATCGTAAATATTTATCCCCTTGCCTGGGCTGAGACAGGGCTGGGCTATGTGCGGCTCCCCTGGACACTCCTCCACAAGGGGTGTCCTTCAGGGGTGAAGGAGAAAGATTCTTGGAGAGGCCAGGCAGCCATGAGAACCAACTCAGCTCACCTTCAGACAGCACCAGCTCACATGGGCTATCTGTAGGACTGGAGGCTGCTGGGACCATGTCAGAATGGGGGCCATAGTACTCCTCACTCTGGGCTTTCCAAGAGGGTCACAGGCCCTATGATTTGAATGCAAGCCACCTTCCATTCCTTCTCCTTTCCTTCCCTTTTCTGAATGACTCCTCCCTTGCTCCTCAAAGGACCTCTTCATGTAGCTAGAAAGCTCTTGATGCAGTCCAGAGAGTTCCTAGCCTGGTGAGCTGGTTGTCTGTCTAGTCTGTCAAGACTCTCTCACATGACACCCTTGAACTCCCTCTGGCCTCTCAGGTGTCACCACAGCCTCACCTGTTATTGATGAGGCCACATACTACCACCAAATGCCCATTACCTCAAGACAAAAGATGGTGGCAAGAGCCACCAGGTAATGGCCATATGTGGGGCATGGCCTCATCAGTCACCGTAGCCTCACCCAGGTCAATAGAGATGGGAAAACTGAGGTCACAACTAGTTCTCAACCTGGCCATGAACACTCAGACTGAGGGCTGGAATCCCAAGTCCATCCTGTGATGTCCTGCCTGGCCGGCCACACAAGAGCTCAAGAAGAGAGCCAACCCCCATCCCCCAAAAAAACTAAAACAAGCAAATCCACAGGGGTTAGGGAAATGGCTCAGTGGGTAAGAACGCTTACTGCAAAAGCAAGAAGATGTAGGTTCAAACCCCCAACATCCATGTAGACAGCTGGGCATGGCTACATATACTTGTAAGCCCAGCATTGGAAGAGGGGGTTGGCACAAGGAGCTCGCTGGCCAGCGAGTTTCCAGCTCAGTAAGAGAGGGTTCTCTTCCTCAAGGCAGTAAGGAAGAGCGGGATACACAAGGACATCTCTGACCTCCATATGCACACAGACGGTCACACCCAACCATAAGTATCCTGCACACTCACATGCATGCACCATACACACATATAACATATCAGAAAGCAAAAGACAGAAACAAAGAAGTCTCCATACCAGCATAGCCACACCACGACCAAAGCCGGAGGTCACAATGTGAAGTGATGTCCCTCAGGGCTTGGACACCACCCGAGCCCACTGTTGACTGAGTTACAGGCTCATCCTGCTGTGGGTCCAACAAGGCTGACAATAGAGCAGAGCCCTGTCCCAGAGACCACTCTGTTGTCCCCCACGTCCCTGCAGTTAAACTTGATGGTGAGGTCCTATTCTGACTTCATTCCCTATTAAACACCTGTGCCACTCAGGCCAACCTCAGACTACATCCCAGTGTGGGCTCTGTTCATGAGCCTAGGAAGAGGGACCGGTCCCATGGTTCTGGGTGGAGGAGAGAAGCAATATCCCACTGGGTCAGGCACACTGGAGGAGGGAGGGTAGTCTCAGGGCTGCTTCTTAAGAGGGATGTGCTGGGGCCACCACAGCAGGACAGCCACTGGAAGATGTCCAGATGAGGATTGGGGGAATTTCCCAGGGCTTGGGAGGGACAGCAAGGACTTCAAGACCTCAAGCATGCCTGTGTTTGCTGTACACTGGGAGCTGAGGTGAACCTGGTTAGTGTGTGTACTGAGTTCTGATCTCCATGAGCTGCTGGGACCCCTCATCCTCTACAGGCATGACTCAGGTACACCTCAGAGCGGGATGGGTGAAGGAGGGAGACAGGTCTGTGTCCAACAAAGACGATGGTCTCAACCACAGTAGACAGCTACTCATCCACAGAGCTCTGGTCCTCACCTGGAGCCTAGAACCCAAAATGCCACATGGGACCCCTATTCCCACCTGGGGCTGAACTTCTATGTTCTAGGCCAAAGGGTGGGTGACGGGTACCAGATGCCTTGAGCTGGGCAGTATGGTGGGGGATCCCAGAACCTGGACACAAGACATTTTGAGATATCCAGAAAACCCCGACTCAGACAGTATGCCAACTGCACTATCCCCCATACCTACCCACCAATGCCCTGTCCCCCAACACACAAACACAGCCAGGGAAGTGTGGCCCTCCCAGATGTCAGGACTCTTGAGGACATCATGCCAGGAGGCTGGAGGTCCTCAGCCACTTAGGAAACCCTGCCACGTCAGGTCCCTGCCAACCTATAGGTCCCTAGCCTCAGGGCCCCAGTGGCTTCCAGCTGCTTCCAGAAAGAGTGCCTTTCACAAGCTATGGACAGGGAAACACAGCTTAGAGTACCAAACCCTGCGTCATAAACATGTGCACCCATGACCATGTGAAGACTGTAAGGAAAGGTACAAAATGGCGACCTCTGAGAACGGGAGACCTCTCCTTCCCCTCAGGGTCCCTCAGGGTCCCTCAGTCTCCTGACCTGCAGCCTGTCACTTCACAGGGAGGGACTGTGCTATGTTTGGCAGACTTGAGCAGCATGCCCCATCCAGGTCAGCACTTCACCCCTCACACCTCAGCACCTGCTGCCTCAGACATTACCATGGTTGTCCCGGGCATGGAGACAACAGTCCCTGAGAAACAATGATTCTCCACTGTACTTTTCCCATCTCTATTCTGCACCAGCCCTAATGGACAGCAAACAAATGCTGAATTCTGAAACAGTCCCTGGAGCTCCTAGATCAGACAGAGCAGGCCCAGGTGCCCCATAACCCTGGACCCCACATGAGCAGCAGCAGCAGCAGGCAGCCCATGAACCCTGGATCCCACATGAGCAGCAGCAGCAGCAGGCAGCCCATGAACCCAGACCCCACATGAGCAGGTAACACTAAAGGCTGCTTCTCCCTGCTGAGCACCCTGCCCAGCTCAGGACTTATCCTTTTCCTCCTCAGATACACACCTCTACCTAGCTAGGGCTGCAGCCAACTCTGTCATTCCCTTACCACCCAATGTTTCCACTCCCATACCGCTCCCCACCACGGCCCAGTTTCCCTTCAGCCTTGCAGAGAGAACTATGCAAAGGCACTCCTTCAGTTTGATTTTTAAGTAAAACATTGAGCAATAAGTTTTTCACAGGCTTGGGAACTAGGCCCAGGGGTCAGGTGGCAAAAATCTCCAGCTGGGACCTCAGCTGGCTTCTGGCCAATCAGCACTCCTCCTCTGCAAGGTCCCACCACCACCAGGGCTCCTCCCCACCCTCATAAGTGACCAGGGCCTGCCAAGCAGGCCTGCTAGAGTCTGGGGGTAAGAGACCATGTCCTCAGTGAGAGGCCTCAGGTGGAACCAAGGTGGGACTCCAGCCCTAGCTGTCTGAACCTAATGGTCACTGCTGCTGTGCTCCTAGCCGAGAACTGTTCGCCCATTAGACCAGGATCTCTGCCACATACCTGCGCTCTTGGCCAACACACCATGCCTGCTGCCCACAGTCTGATCTCCACACGGGCACTATGCGGCTGAAGGCTTGCACACAGGGCTGGCGGTGGCCCACCAGGGTCAGCTTCTGCTCAGCACACACATGGGGCCTGGAAAAAAGGACAATGACATTTAACTTCTCTACTACCAACAGCTGGCTGTCACCAGTCATGCCTCCTCACCTACACTCAGGATCCAACCATGGCTAGGCCACAGCACGGTGCCCACCTGGCATCCACTCTGGACTCCAGGACAAGGGGACTGAGAAGGAATGATGGTCACAAGCATCTTCTGCCAGGGTCCTGTGCTGCACAAGGCACTGCCCCAGTCCCTAAGAACCTTCAAGGTAGGCAAAATCGTCCGTTCCCTTTGGACAGCCCTTGTTGGGGCTCAGGCTGGTCCCCAAGTCCAGGTCCCCAGAATAATGCTCTTTCTACACCCTCCTTCACTCCTGCCACCCCAATGCCTCCCTTGTATCCTCAGGATACACAGGAGTATGGGGACATGACCCAAGAGTAGGGATGAGGACAAGTAGGAATTTGGAAAAAGAAAACCAGAAAATCTGGTCACTATCCAGCCATACCCAGGGCAGTGACTCTTTTTATGACTCTGATCTCCACTTGTCCCAGAAGCCAGCCTTGGGGAGCACAGGGTGCCAAAGGTAGGCAGCCTAAGACAGCCCTTCAGGCCCACCAAGGGTAGAAAAGGCTCCAGTCCTATGAGAGAAAGTCAACTGGAGGGGCACTCTGGAGGTGCTCATCAGGTAATGGACACAAAGCTCAGGCTCACTCAAGCCTGTGCCCCTGAGGAACCAAGTTGTGGGACAGAAGACAAGACCCACTACATTGGACCAAGCCTGGGAAGCAGATGAGGACCCCATATGTCCCAAGGAACAAAATGGGACATTCAACCTGTATGGCCAGACTCTGAGCTCAATCCAGAGCACAAAGGATTACCAGTACACACACATGGAACAGAGTCATTTTCCAATCTGTTGGGTACTACAGAGAGCCTGGCAATCCTCTGCATAAAGCCCTTCCTTCTTCTCGGGTATACCCACTCCCACACTAGCTGAGGTCCCTACTCCACCAGGGGATAGAGATGAGTCCTTAGCTTTGCCCCGACCTCTGCCTCCACCCCATGCCCAATGAGGCACTCCTTCCCCAAATGGCCTCAACATTCCCAGTGACTGCTGGGTGCTGCCCAAAGTTCACCACTTAAGAGACCACAGCCACGTGGCGGTGGCGCATGCCTTTAATCCCACCTCTCAGGCAGCAGAGGAGTGGATCTCTGTGAGTTCGAGGCCAGCCTGGTCTACAGAGCGAGATCAGGACAAGCACCAAAACTACACAGAGAAACTCAGTCTCGAAAAAAGCAGAGAGAGAGAGAGAGAGTCTTGACCACACCAACCAGCAGCTCTGACCCCAGACCATCCACCCCCAGACGGATGTTCTGACCGAGAAGCCTTTATTTTTGTTTTTTCCCTGGCTCTGCTGTGTGGGAAGCCACCTCCTTGGGGAAGTGTATGGACCACCTGCAGACGAGATAAACATAGAAAAATAAACATCAGAGGCTCCCAGCCTGGAGCAGGGTCTGCACCTGCCCAACCATGGCATCATTAGGGGCTCTGTTGTAGCCCACTAGGTTTCCTAGTGGCTGTACCCAGGAGGACTGTATAAGAGGTTGTTTGGACCACGAGCCTGAGTATCAAGTGTTTGTAAGGGTCTACACTTGACTCTAACTAGCAAAGGCTGTGTGTCTTTTGCTTCACCCCTTGGCATTGTTATAAACAGACCTTTGGAATAATGTTCTGAGCCCACTGGAATAGGTTCCAGGCCCTCTTGAGGCTATCCTGTATTTTCTATCTGTTTCTCCCCCCTCTAATTCTTCTATCTAATATTTCCTGCTGCTCCTACTCAAGAGCACTCTGGGGAAATGTGGGGGTGGTGGGTAGCTCCCCCATGGGGCTCCCAACCATGGCATCATCAGGGGCTCCCAGCCATGGCATCAGGGGCTCCTGGTCATGGCAAGCAAGGTCTGCAACTGCCCAGCATGACACCAGGCCATCTAAACCCTAACTTTCCATCAGTAGCAGCATAGGCAAGGCAGAGTTAGCACCACAGCCATAGGCAATCCTAGGCACAGGACTGTCAGAACACGTCCTGAGACTTCCCAGCCCCACGACACCGTCCCCAGTCTCCCAAACTTCTATCTAGGGCAGAAGCTAGCCTTACCAAGTCTGGGGTGACTGCAGAGCAAGGACTCTTGGGTCCCAGAACAAAGCAGTGGGATCTGGAATATGCTGTGGACCCCACATGTGCGCTAGAACTGTGAACTCATTCTCCTTGGCCAGGTGGAACCTCAGACAGGATTGAGCAGCTGTGAAGTCCCAGGGCCAGATTCGAAAGATTTTTACCACCTCATAAAGACAATTCCCCAGGGGGACATGCGACCACAGGGACCATGACAATCAGGATGGCCACTGCTGCCACCACCACCTCCACCTCCCTCCTCCCCCATGCTGCTACCAGGCACCTTTAAGTATCAACCCATGGGGATGCCCCTTTCACCACCTGAAAGGAGGTGACAGTGATTTCCCTGAACTGTCTTAAGATCACCCGCTAACCCGACACGGTACATGGACTAAAGACCCCACCTCTTCCTGAGCTCTGCTGAGATTCTGTGTTTCTCAGATGGCTAGCTAAGGAATGGGGGACCCAGATTTCCAAGAGCCTGTTGTGGGCCGAGGATCCCAGGCTGAGAACACAGGGACAGGCTAGGGTAAAGGTTTGTACAAGAGCAGCAGTCCCCACACAGGAAAAGCCCTCCTCAGCATTCCCTGGCCAGAGTCCTGGCCTCCACTTTGCTGTGTGCCTATAGGAGAATGCCCTCTATGGAACTCCTGAACATATGCAACTTCCTTTGAACACACACCTGCCCCCCCCCACCCCCCCACACACACACGTGTCCTCTGGCTAGTGGTAAGTGTAGCTGATTGGAAGACCAACAGAAGGTGGGGCCTAGAAGGGACACTGGGTGTCTGTCTCCCCAACCACTTAGAAACCTTCCTGCTGGACGGTAGCTGCTCCACTGTGGTCACATAGTATCCCTTACTGTATGTTCACTCTGCTCATCCTCTGACCCCCTGCTCCTGCTCTGTGCAGCTAGCTCTAAGGCCCGAGAGAGCAACACAGCTGGGATTAGGACATCCGTGACAGGTAGAGAATGCCACTGGCCCCAACCATGTGAGGATGGTCTGCAGGAAGCCACATGGACAGAAGACCAGCCCAAAGTCTTTGAAGCTCTTACAAGGGTCCAACAGGGTGGTTAATGGGCACTAATGGGGAGGCACATGCAGGACTCAATGCCTCTCCTAGGAAGTGCAGGCAAAGGTACATGGTGGAGGATGGGGAACCTGGGGGAAGGGGAGCAAAGGAAGAGGCAAAGAGAAGCCTCAGCTCAGGCCCCAGAAGAACCCAGCAAACACTCAAGCTCCTCTCTGAGCCGAAGGTGTCTTTGTGTTTCTTGTACTTGCATGCAGCTTCTCACCAAGGTGGGAAGGGCAAAGCCCAAACCACAAGGTAGACCCAGGGCCAGCGGGGGGAGGAGACTTTAGCCCAGCTGCAGAGCCATCTGTTGAAGCATGGAATGGGGGTCCGAGAAGCTGGCAGTCTTTGCAGGAGCTAGAGGCCAGGGATGCTCATGGCAACGGCAACAGCACCCTTTACCAAGGTGTGGAAGTGGGAGGCACACTGTCTGTATAACCACCCTGACACGTCTTCAGGAGGATGATTTGTCTATACCTCCCTCATCTGGCCTCATGGCTCACCTCTGAGTGTACTTCCCCTGGGTACAGCTGGCACACTGGGGTAGGAGCCCAGTGGCTTTCTGGGGCACTGTAACACTGTGTGAAGGCAGATCGGAGACCCTCAGAGGCCTCCCACCAGGCACAAGACCGTCCACTGCGACCATCACAGGAGGTCCAGCAGACATGCACTTCTTCCGCACTGTGCCCCCACCGCAGGCACAGCATCTCCTGTCTTCTGGGACATCTGGCCAACCACCATGTCAGCTTCCCCACGCCCTGAAGAGGGGCATCAGAGGCTACTCAAGAGATAAACTGGGAAAGGCCTCAGCCATGGAGAATGTGGGTGTTCAAGCCCTCAGGGCCAGTAGACCCAAAGAGCTCCTTGCGAGATGGAACTTGAGCTTGGAGGGGCCTACGACCTGCCTGGGGTAGGGGGTCATCATCATTAGCTGATTCCAAAGCCCTGGCGGGTTTCTCAGCACAGCTGCCCAAAGGGGCTCCAGCCTGGGAGAAGCCCTGTGTTTTGAAGTTGTGTGTGAACACTGGGGCGCAGCTTCAGCCAGGGCATCCCCCGTCTCCGTCCTCGATGGGGCAGCAGGAAGCCCTGAAGCAGCCATGCCAACTTTGCACTGCTCGGCAGCCATTCCCATCTCCAGATCAAACAGGCAAGTCACGCTTCCACAAAGCTGGAAAGTCACTCAGAGGCAAAAAAAAAAAAAAAAAAAAGCAGGCAGGCAGGCTCTGTCCACTCAATCTGAGCACCCCCAGCCAACAGCAGCCAGAGAATCACCCACACTGTTCCAGCAGATTCGTGAGGGTCTACAGGTAACCAGGGGTGGGAGTCAGAGCTGCCCTACCCCTAGAATCCACAGAGGCCCACCAGCGTAGGGGCTATAGGCAGGAGGACAAAGTACTACAAAAAGTCAACAGCTATCACTTCAGGAAAACTGGCCAAAGAGGTGTGGCAGCCGTACCAGGCCCTGCCAGCTCATCAGAACTCCTCAGGGGGGAAAGGCAGCAGGGCAGAGAGGGTCAGCCAGGAAGAAGTATTTTCTAGGGTCCTGGCTGCCTTCCCAGCCCTCCTCCCCTGCTCCTCTGAGTGTTGAGAGCTAGGAGTAAACCTGCAAAGTCACTTCTGGAAGCTGGTCCTTATGGCTTCCACCTGCTGCCTGCTCAGCAAATCAAGTGCTCCTTCTCCAAAACCCAGCTAGATATCTCCACTGGTGTGGCCAAATGAAACTCTCCTGCACTAGCCCAGCCAGCTAGGGCCCATGTGCAGACGCCGGAGAGATGCAGTTCTTTCTGGGGAAGACAGCCAGGATTCTTGACTAAGCGGGAACTCAGACTCACCCAAAATGGACAGTCTGAGGACAGGGGCCTACTGGGACACAAGAGCCAGAAGTGGGGGCACAAGGCCCAGAGATGCAGCTGCCACCGCGGGAAGAAGGGAAGGTGGGCTCTGGAAAACGCATCAAGCAGGAAGGGACAGGCTCTCCTCCCACCCATTCACAACTAGTTCCAACAACTTTTTCAACAGCTAAAGGCTTCCTGGGCCCAGGTGAGCAGGACACAGGCAGCAAGCCCTTGGCTCCACTCCCAGGGAGATCAGCTGGAGCGGACAGAGCTGGATGGAGAATCCATAAAGGGCGACCAACAGTTTCCACATGTTCCAGATTGCATCCATCCACCCAGAACCTCAGGAAGGCTGTGCCTGCTGCCCTTCTCAACCATGAAAAGGGACAGGCAGGCTGGCAACCCTAGCCCACCATGCTAACTGCGGTAATCATTCAGAGGCTGAAGCTCCTTTTGGGCAAACTCACAGTTAAGAGAAACGAGCAGCAGCCAGGGACAGGCTGCTTCCACTCACGGGTGAGAGGCCCCAACTCAGATCAGTTCTCCTATGTAACAGCCACAAGAACCAAAGCAAGACCCAGGGTGGGAGTCCTGAGAGCACCTGCCCCAGCGGGAAGTTTGTCCTCTCATTCTCCCAGGGAGCCACGGCTCCGTCCTCAAGGCCAAGTACATGGTGGATCCACTAGTGCCAGCCCTGGACAGGAGCAGCAAGTCCCTTCTCTGGCTGAAAGGACACTCTAATTGGCAGAGAGGAAGCCCCAACTCAGGCCTGAAGGGTCCCTCGTCCACTCCCCATGCAGCCCCAGCAGCTTTGCCAAATTTACAAGGCCCCACCTTGCACCCTGCAGGGAAGGGGCGGGTGGAGGCTGCAGGCCCTCTCATCCCTGCACCTCATCCACTTGGGCTCAGTTCGCACCGGTTTTCCTTTGAGGCCAACAGAGGGATCGCTTTGCAGTTTAAGAGAGACCGCTAACCGGCCTGTTGGGGAATCATCTTTCAAAATTAAATCCGTCGCCGCTGGCTCCCTGACCCTCTCTTCCTGCCCATTCTAGTACTAAATTCCTTCTCCCGAGGCCCCAGAGCGCACGTGTTTAACACACAAACCAGTTCTGGCAGCCCCCTCTGGGCACCCCCGCCCCTGCGCAGGCCCCCAGACCCCAGGAGACCAGCTTGGGGAGGAAGTGGGACCAGGCTGCTTCCTCTCGGCCGCCTCCAAGCCGGTTCCCCAGCTGGACTCTGCGCCGCAGGGGCTTGGATTCCTCACCTCTCCAAACTTCGGCATCCGCCTGCCTAAGTCTGCAGGACCCTCACTGCAGAGGCGGGAACCGGGAGGCTAGGGGCTCTGTGGCAGTCTCGAGGGCCCCAGATCCAACCCGAAACCCCACGTCTAGACCATCCCCTCCTAGTTAAGGCAAAGAGCCCATTGTTCTGGGGCCCCAGGGACAAAGCCCCGAGCTCTGTCCCGGGTCAGCGTCGCTGCCGCGAGCCTCGCGACTCGCGCTACTCACATGTTCGGCTGCAGCGGGCGCGGGGGTCGCGGCGGAGCGGCTGCAGGCACAGCGGGGAGCAGCAGCAGAGCCAGGGCCACCGCGCGCCAAGCGGCTTTCGTCTCCGCCCGGACAAGCATCGTGCGCGCGGTCGCGCTCCCACTCGGTCCTCTGCTCGCCGACTCACAGGCGGTCCTTGCGGCTGAGAGACCCCGTCTTCACGCGCGCCATGCCCTGGAGGACAGCGGGCGCCGCAACCGAGCCTCGCCAGGTGCGGGGCGGGAGGTCGCCGCAGGTGCGGATGGTGCAGCTGCCCCGAGCGCTGAGACCTTCGCGCTCCGCTCTACAGACACTTGCCAGCAGTGATGGAGAGCGAACTCGGAGCGGGACGCCACAGACGTCAGGCCCGCCCGCCGCACGCCCCCCGGCCGGGACCCCAGCCCCCTCCCGCCCCGGCTCCCGCCCCTTTTCGGCCCCACCCCCAGCCCAGGCCACGCCCGTTCCGCCTTCGGCCCCGCCCAGACCGTCCCAATAGAGGGAGCCCACTTCCAGCCCCGCGCCAGCCCCTAATCCAGCCCACAAGACTAAGCTCGCTTCCCTGTACCCGATATCTAGCTTCATTCGAGCATCCTCTTGGCGTTCCCTGCGCACCTCCGGCCAAGAGTCCCAGGTCTGGTCCCATCCAAGTGACCAGTCCTGTCCGATCTGAGCGTTGCACACCTCTCAAACACGGCTGAACCATGACCCGGGACATCGGCAAGCGCATCCTTGGCTTCTCCTCTCCACCGACTCTGCATTCACCTTCCCTTGGCTCCTCATTCCGCGCCCTGCCTCCGCTGCCCAAGAAGCAGGGAGGAATCTGGGCACCTCCTTTGGGTACTGACATGATAGGTAACACACCGTCTGGACATTTGTATTCCTAGTTCTGTGCTCAGTGCTTTGGGACGGTGGCATGGGGTGGAGTGGGCGTGTATGTCCCACCAGGCAGCTGCACAGGGTCTAGAAGGCGAGGCAACTCCCCGCTCCGGCCTATTTGCTGTCCTTTAAGCCTGGTTTTGGTTTGATGTGACTTTCTCCAGGGGTAGGGCCAGACTGTTCAGCGCTAGACATGGTGCCTCTGAGACCAGGATTTACCAGACACTCAGAGGGACTCCTTTTCAAAGTTGAGCTGGGATAGCCCCAAAAGGGCACAGTAGGGGACCTCGCTAGTTGCAGATAGTTGTGTGAGGATCAGCCCCTGCTTCTCTTCCTGGAGAGATGCGCCTGCCTTTACATGATTGGTAGGCCTAGCCTGCCATTTTTTGAAGACCTCCCTCCTCCACCATTCCCTGTGGAATGAGGTAGGTGTTCCAACCACCTCCTTCCCAATGGCAAGTGCTTGAGAGGATCTTTGGCCAAGGGACCTGGAAGTGGGGGTGAAAAAGTGTCCCGCTCCCATTTCAGAAGGCTGCAGTTGCATTAATGGGCGTGGGTACTGTCAGCTCAGACCTGCTGCTGACCCAAGCAGAGAACCACAGGGCAAGGGAAGGAGCAGAGTCCCCTGCCTCAGCTTACAGGGCTACAGACTGCAGATATGAGCACTAACCACAGGAGCCTGGCCTCGTGGAGGGAGGGAGGGGAGAGAGGGAGAAGGAGAGAGCGAAGAGGAGGGGAGGGAGAGGGAGAGAGAGGGAGAGAGAGGAGGGAAGGGAGAGGGAGAGAGATAGAGAGCGGGAGAGGGGGAGGGGAGGGGGAAGGAAGGGGAGGAAGAGGGAGGGAGAGAGAAGGAGAAGGAGAAGAAGGAGAAAAGGGGAGGGAGAGAGAAAATTGGTCCTGGAACTTGCTACCTGTTTCCCCAGACAGGACCCTAGTTTGCCCTACACTGTTGTGTTCTGGATCTTGCCCTTCTGCCTGAACTCATCACCAGACCCTCCCTGGATCTCAACAGCAGAGGCTGACCCAAGCCTTCTGGGTGACTCTAAAAGTACCAGCCTCCCAAGTGTCTGCACCCAAGAAATCATGGAATGCCCCACCTCAGCTAGGGGCCTCCCCAAGCCAGAAACTGCAGTGGGTCCATCTGCTGTTCCTTCTCTGCACCTCTTTCTCTCCTGGAGCTGCCTTTCATGAGTGCACAATCAGTAGTAGGGTGTGCATGCATGCATTAGGACCCTGGAAAAGATCACTGTCTCCTCTGCTAAACCGTGCCCCCCCCCCCCCCGGGGCCAGGGTCGGGGGTGGGGGGGGTTGGGGGGGTGGGCGGGCGAAAGATGACTCCATCTCACAATCTTCTCTGCTCACCAGAGGGAAGAAGGTGGTCCTGGGTTAGAAAGAGAATCTCTAGGTGGGGCAGGGTCTGTGCTTTTAGTATCCTGAATCCTATGTGGGGACCTTATTGAAAAAAAAATTATACAAAAGAAAATGATTTGGTATTTTTACAAAAGTACATGGTTTCATGCATAAATTTCTAGACCTCCTCAACTTGACGATTTCCCTGGGTCAAAGCTTTATTGACCGACCTTAGGTTATTCCAGCTCTGTTCATGCCCTGTCCAAGCACCAACTCCCTGCCGTGTAAAGAAGAGTCCTGGTAGGAGGAGTCAGGTGCATCCTGTTGGAGTCCTTGTGGTTAGGCTATGACACCTGTACACCCTCTTCCATGGCAGATGTGTCCATTCCCAGGTGTCATTTAAGGTAGGAGGAATACACGTGGGCAGAGTGGGTCTGTCCACTATTCCCAGAGTCCTTGTTCCCAGTCAGGTGCAGGTAGGTGGACCCTGTAGTATGGAGCTCACATCTTCAAGCAAAGCCCATCACATAGACTGGTGTTGGCTGGAGTCTCACCCTGGCCCAAGACCCTTTTCTTGTCCAGTCTGGCTCCTATGAGAGTGTGTGAGCATCTGCTTGCCTAATGAGTGTCTAATTCCCAACACAACGATGGAGTAAAGAGGACACTTAGAGTCTGTCATTTTAAACGTAATCAGAACCCAGGGATATAACTTGGTTAATAGAGTGCTTGCCTAGCATGCATGATTTTCTGGGTCCAATCCCCAGTGCTACACAAACAAGGTGTAGTGCTACACACCTGCACTGGGGAGGTAGAGGCGGGAAGAGCAGAAGTTCAAGGTCATCCTCAGCTACATAGCAAGTTTGATGCCATCCTGGGCTACATGTGACCTTATCTCAAAACAAACAAACAAACAAACAAAAAAACAACAAAAAACCCACAAAACTAGAAATCAGACTGCACATGTGTGTTTCATACACTTTTGTAACTCACAACAAACAAGTTCTCTTTTACAGCTACTAAATTAAACATAACAAATATTCTCCAAAAATTAGCTACCTTGTTGCTTTTTCATGAAGTGACAGCTTGTAGGACATAATTGTTTCAAATTATGGGCTGGAGTGACAGTCAGAACACAGTTGACGAAGCAGCCTGGCTCCATGAGCTGGGGACTCAGTTTGTCTCCCCATCACTAAGAACTAAGCACAGGAGCGAGGGGAAGGGTCACACTCAAGTTCATTAAGTACTCGCATGGTAATATCCTTACGTAAATCTGTGTATAAAAATAAATAAGCGCCGGGCAGCGGTGGTGCATGCCTTTAATCCCAGCACTTGGGAGGCAGAGGCAGACAGATCTCTATGAGTGCGAGGCCAGCCTGGTCTACAGAGCGAGCTCCAGGACAGGCACCAAAACTACACAGAGAAACTCTGTCTCGAAAAAAAAAAAACAAAAATAAATAAATAAATAAGTACTTGACTTAGAATGATGGCTATGTGCTCTGTTGTTGAATCTGTTGTGTGGGGTCCATCCCAGTGTCTGCCATTAAGAGAGAATATGGCCAGCTACCCAGTCACCTGGCTACAACTGATACCACATTCGCTCCTAGCTAGACACAAACAGCACCTGCTTCTGAGTGTTTCCAATGATTCCATCCCAAATTATTGTACCATTTTTCCTTCTTTGCTGGAACAAGACAGCACAAGAGCTGGCCACTGAGATGCCCGTGATAGCTCTGGGCGAAGGCTTTACATAGTTGTATATTTAGGTCCGTGAAGTGTGTAACTTGGTTTTCCCTGCAAACAATATCGGTATTCTTTTTCTTAATTTTTTATTAGACTTATTCACTTATTGGGTAGCACATGTGTCACAGTGTATGAGTGGGGATCAGAGGACAATTGGATGGAATTGATTCTTCTATGATGTATGTCACAGGGATCAAACTCAGGTCATCATGCTTTTCAGCAGTCACCTTTACCTGCTGAGCCATCTTGTTGGCCCTACAATGGTCATTCTTGGTCATCCTTCCAAATTAATTTGGAGGATAATCTATTCAGTTCCTGTCAAATTGCTTTGGAATTTAGCTGCACTTGCCTTAAACCTGTTAATTTAAGAACTTCAGGATTATCTACAGTAACTGGACTGTTGACACAGCACCCCCTTGTGGGTATTGAACATTTTGTTTTTTTTTTTTTTTTTTTTTTGGTTTTTCGAGACAGGGTTTCTCTGTGTAGCTTTGCGCCTTTCCTGGAACTCGCTTTGGAGACCAGGCTGGCCTCGAACTCACAGAGATCCGCCTGGCTCTGCCTCCCGAGTGCTGGGATTAAAGGCGTGCGCCACCACCGCCCGGCTGTATTGAACATTTTGAAGACCACAGTGCTGGCTGGCTTCAGGAGGCTGGTGGCTCACTCAGTTATGGACTTTATTGAAACTAGCCACATGACACTTTCCACTTTAGGGTCTGCTCAGTCCATTCATGGGGTACAGATTGGATTTACCTATCAAAATCCCGAGCTTCTGGGGCTGCAGAGATAGGTCAGTGGTCAAGAGAGCTGAATGCTCTTGCAGCTTCCCAGCACCCACATGGCCACTCACAACCCTCTGTCACTCCAGGGGATCCCACGCCCTTTTCTGAGCCTCTGTAGACACAGGCACACATGTGGTACACAGATATACATTAAGGTGAAACAGTAATACACACACACACACACACACACACACACACACACACAGGGGCACGCACGCACGCGCGTGCGCATATGTAAGTACGTACGTACATACATACATACATACATACATATATATTTGGTTCTGTTCAAGATAGGATTTCTCTGTAGCCCTGGCTCTCCCAGAACTCTTTGTAGACAAGGCTGGCCTTGAACTAAAATATCCACCTGCCTCTGCCTCCCAAGTGCTATGACTAAAGGCGTGCACCACCACACCCTGCCTACGTATATATTTATTTAACCATGAGCTTTCAAGGAGTGTTATGTAGCATTTACATCCAGGCCAGAGCCCACTGCCACAGCACACACCTCCTGGGATCCTAGATTTTTCCCTTCCTCAGCCCACCCTGTCACCACACCTCCCATCCAGCAGTGTGCTCAAATGTCAGAGTCATAACTGTGGTGACACTCAGAGTTGGACTT